CATCTACATACACACGGTGATGTTTGGAGCCCTCGCCTCCTTTCCCCAGGCTCCTCTGTCTATAGAATTACTCACTGGTGCTGTCTCTGTGAGACACACTGCTCAGTGCCACTAACTTGCATGTACAGTTCCATGTGCCAACTCTGACGCACTCTGTAGGAATCCATCTGTCTGAAGGCTGTCGTTGGAAGACACCAGGTTCTCTTAGCCTCTTCGATGACCAGAGCAGGCCCGTAGACTTGACAGGAGCCATCCACAGCCAGCTGGTGCAGTGGGGACAACAGAACCGAGGCAGAACCATTGCCTTTCTGACTCTTGGTGACAATTCTACTCAGGAGACAGGCTCAAAATTCCTTGCAGAAACCTTGAAACCTGTATTTGTGCAGAATCAAATATTTTTAATGCACCACCATACAAGGTACCCAGAAATAGGTTATAAACTCTTTTAATGATAAGCTAGAAAGTATCTAGGTATGAGATGCTACCTAGATAGGAAATGTAAATGTTAATTGTGGCTTTAAAACATTTTATAATATAAAAGAGAAAACTATTGGAGGAAAATAAATCTTGATGGTAAATAAGCACAGAAATGAAAAGGTAATTACTAATACAGAAAATCAAATTTTATAAACAATCCTAGTAATTTTGAAATCGAGCCTTCCTAAAGAAGGACCAGCATTCAGATGGATGTCATTTTTTTTAAAAAAACATTATTTTGAGTCTGAGTTACTCAGACTGGCTTCAAACTTGTGACCCTCCTGACTCTGCCTCAAGTGCTGGGATTAGAGACATGCACCTCCACAAGCTTCATCAAAGATTTTTAATACAGCACCATACAAGATGCCCAGGATAGAAATCTCATATAGATGTGCCAGGAAACTAAAACCTAAACAAAAGTGTAGAGGAATGTGGGGTACTGGAGAACAGACAAGTTGGCTGTAAGGGTCCAGTGCTTGCGTCAGTGAATCCAATTTGGAAGAACACACACTCTAGGCTATCACCATTCTAGTATATGGTGCTGTGTGACTTTCTTCTCAAAGCAGTTTTTTGCTTTGGCAATTTTGAGGCTGCAAAGGATGGAGTTCTGCTGTTTTTTGTGATACTTCAGGCCATCTTATCTATTCTTCTGTTCCTTCTCAGCAAGCAATATCTCCTCTGCTTTATCTTTACAGTCCACGTATTTACTGGAGTTTCCTTTCTGGCTAAACTCACCAACTTTAAATCATTCTGTTGGGCTCTTGATTCTCAACATAGTTCTGGTTTAAAAGCTCCCAACAGTAGCCATGCCACCACCTCAACACTTGACTGCCTATAAATTTCTTCTACCAAATTAATTAGTCTGGCACTCTTAATTGCAGCCACAGGCAAAATCCAGATAAGAGCAATATGCAGACAAACTTTTAAAAAAGCATAACACACATCATTTGGAGTCTGATGGGAAATGCAGTCCTTCCCAGCAGAAACCTCTTGAGCCTGGTCTTTACTCACAGATTTTCAATCAACTTCTAGACTTCGGAGCTCTGAGTAGAAACTCCTATACAAGACAGCCTAAATTATTCCAGCTCTGCTTTTTATCTCACATCTCTGAAACTTTCCAATCTCTTCCCACAAGCTATTCCCAAAGGCTCCTGAGCCACATAGTCAAGGTAGAATCATGGCTATGGCCTCACTTCTCTGTTACCGAATTCTGTCTTAGTTACTTTCCAGATCATTGAGACCAAATATCCAATACCCAAAGTTAGAAGTAGAAAAGTTTATTTAGTTCACAGTTGGTAGAGGTTTCAGCCTGTAATCGGCTGCTCTAGTAGGCTGGCACATGGGAGACCAACTGTTCATAGTCACAGAAGACAGCAAAACTGGCAAGTGCAACAAAAGAGAAAAAAGCCTCTTCTGCCCCTTTTACCTCATCCAGACTTCTGGGATTAGGACAGTGCTAATCCAATCAGTGTACTGACCCAGCAATCACCGACCCTTAATCCTAGCACCCTTAATCCCAGCGTTTCACTAGAAATCAACCACATGCTCCAGATTTAACCACCTCGGAAGAAAAATCCCTGTTACCACATGAGACCTTGGGGGACATCTAGACACAAACCATAACAGCCTGAAAATGTAAAGCAGGGAACATAAAGTAAGGATTTGCCAGAACCAGCCATTCAAGTGATGGAGGGGCTGCAGCACTGCTATTAATGCTCTTCACCTTTTTCATTTTTTGTTACAAAAGTCATATATCTGCTGAATATTAATAACATAAAAATCGCAAAGAAGACAAAATCAACTACGTTCTCAAAATCTGTCTGCCACGCACCCATGAGTTGCTTTCATGCACTTTTAGCTTCAGGGAGAAAATAGTATAATGAACACACTATTTTGTAGCCAGTGTCTTTTAGGCATTAAATATTGTTTAATTGCATAAATCCTTTAAAGACAGGAGTCAGAAGTTCCTAGTTCTAGGTCTCATCCCATAATATACTTCTTGTGCAACTTTGAATGAGTCCTT